AAATTAGAAATAAGGGCAAATAGTTTTTCTGGTGGGTATTGAGGGTGGGAGGGAGGGAGGAGTGGGTGAGGGGGTGGGGGCAGGGGGAGAAATGACCCAAAGCCTTGTATGCAATATGAATAATAAAAATAAAATAAAATTAAAATAAAAGATGGTGGGGGCAGGGGGGAGAAATGACCCAAGCCTTGTATGCACATATGAATAATAAAAATAAAATAAAATAAAATAAAATAAAATAAAACTGGTGTCCTATGACAAATGTATAAAGCTTTTCCAATGTATAACATGTCATTCAGAAGTCTTTTTTTCTTAAAATGGATAGTTCTTAAATTACTAACAACAACAAAATCAGCCTTTTAAGCAAGTGCATTTTCAAGAGTAGGTTAGGATACCCTGAAAAGTCCCATCACATTAATTACTATTACAGGTAAAACCCAACAAACTAGAATTAGTTTTGCTTCCTTTGATATAAGAATTCAGAGTTGGTGGTGTAAGCTCAGTGGCAAAGTACTTGCCTAGCATGTACACAGACCTGGATCCATTCTTTAGCCTTATGAAAATAAAGTAAGAATAGATGAACTCCTAACTTTTTTCCATTTTCTTTGGCAGTACTGGGGTTTGAACTCAGAGCTTCATATTCACTAGGCAGTCTCTGTACTACTTGAGTGATGTCTTAGCCTTTATTCCTATCTTTTATATAGAGTATTAGTCCTTAACCTCTATTGGTTCATAGACACTTGAGAATATGATGGAAGAGATGGGACATCTTCCAAAAACTGAACCTGATACATTCAAAAAAACTATCATAAAATTTTGGGGGTTATTATACACATAAATCCATTCATGGTTCCACTAATTTCAAAATTTAACTAGTGTTTTGAGAAAAGTTTTTTTTTTTTTTTGGTGGGAGTGGGGTTTGAACTCAGGGTTTCATGCTTGCAAAGCAGCTCTAACACTTAAGACAAACCTCCTGTCCATTTTGCTCTGGTTGTTTTGGAGATGAGGTCCTGTGAACTCTGCCCAGGCTTGCCTCAAACTGTGATCTTCCCAACCTCAGCTTCCTACGTAGTTAGCATTACAAGCTACCTGGCTTGAGAAAAGTTTTAAGAACTGAAAATAAAACCAATTCAAAGTATGAAGAAGGAAAGTTAATGGGATTTTTTTCTACCTGCATTTGAAAATAGGTCATTTTGGAGACAGTTACTACTTTTAAGAACTTTTCCCATTGATGTCTTTAATTTCAAAAACCAAATTACAAAATACTGAGTGTTATATATCTCCAAAAGTTTTCTAAATTGAACTACAATTTGAGACATGCTCTTGGCTTTTTGTTTTTGGTTATCTCAGGTTTTTTAGTGGTACTGGAGTTTGAACTTGGGGCTTCATACTTGCTAGGCAGGCTCTCTACCACTTGAACCATTCCACAATCCTAGTTTTGTTTTTTTTTACAATGGAAACTTATACACCATTCCTTCAAGATTTTTTCATCAGGACTTTTGTGTTTGAGATGGAGATCTTGCCTAGAACTCAAGAGCTCCTTCTGCCTTAGCCTCCCAAATAGCTTAGACTAAGGCATGTACCATCATGCCTTGATAACTTTGTTTGGGTTGGCAGGTGAAACTACTGTGAAGAGTTCATTTTCACAAACCTGAAGGACAACAACGTCAGCACCATTTTTAGTTTGTTTATTGATAAGTTTATTAATATATAATTCACATAGCAAATAATTCACCCATTTATATTATACAACCCAAAGGTTTTTTAAAAGTATATTCATAGTTATTCAACCATCACCACAATAATTTTAGAACATTTTCATCAAATCCCAAAAAAGTTCTGTTCCCATTAGCAGTCACATCCTATTCCAACACCCCAAAGATTTTAGTGAATTTATATTTTGCCTCTTATAGATTTTCGTATTTTGGACATTCCATATACCCATGTATACATTTGTGGCCTTTTGTACCTAGCTTGTTTCACTTTGCATAATGTTTTCAAGGTTCATCATGTAACATGTATCAGGACTTCATTTCTGTTTATAATAGTCCACTGTATGGATTTACCTCTTTTTTTTTTTTTCACATCACACTTGCTGAGCACTCTTAGTGCTTGAGCCACTTTGCCAGATCTTTTTTTATGATGGGTTTATTCAAGATAGGATTTTGCCTATTACTTGTCTAGGACTGGCTTTGAACCTCGATCCTCTTGATCCCTGCCTCCTGAGTAGTTAGGATTATAGGCATGAACCACTGGAGCCCTGCCTATAACTCATTTTGCTAATCTAGCAAAATTCACCAGTGAATGGACATTGGAGTTCTCTTCCATGTTTGTGCTATTATATCTGCTTTTTAACATCTGTATACAAGTTTTTCTGTTGACTGGCCTCTTAAATTTTTACCACACAAGTCAAAAGGGAAGACATGTTTAATAATAAAGCTATACAAAATTTATTTTTCAATAATTTTAAATGTTCCAAGGTTCCAACTTACCATATGCAAAATCACCAAGGCTTATAATGACAACTGACATCTTTACTCCATCACAGCATTAAGGAATCCTTGAAAGCCAGACATTCTCTAGGATCCCTTTTTATACTAAATTACCACTCTTTCTATTACTTCTCCTTGAATAGAAAATACCACAAAGACCAGGTTGTGGACATTCCCTGGTTTGGGGAAAATGATCAACAAACAAACTAACCTCCTTGCAAGCAGCATGCACAAGAATGCACACATGACTGGGCCTTAGAATTTATGTGGAGCATGGCTTGCAAAGGTGCCCCTGTGTTCTCCATTTTCGTCTGAAGTACTTGTCTCCCTCACCAATTCTGAACCATGCTTTGAGTTTTCTGGCTACTACATCTTCCTTAACTCTCCATGTCCCCACATGGAGACCCTCACTACTAGCTCTGCCTTGACTGTGGACTGAACTTGAGCACAGGATTACATGCTTGGCTAATGACCCTCTGGACTCAGATCTGTCAAGTGCACTCAGATGGTGCAAGTGAATGTAACCAAAAAGATACACAGGTGAGGTTGAAGGGGTCAAAATGAGTTAATTACTTATTCATCAGCATAGTTCTCTAATGATCAAAGTACTTGGGGACCTCAACTTAATCCCGAGGCTCACTCATCAGCTATCATGATTGTTCATAACACAGTATTCACTGAATTGATCTGATAGGAGAACATCTTGAGCACAGGAAGCACATGCCTAAACATTGACCCATTCGAATCATCGAGAAAAAAGATCCAAGAGAGTTTAACTGATACTCTCTTTCTCCTCCTTATTATTGTCATTATTATTATCATCTTATTTTGTTTTGCATTCTAGAACAATCTTACTTAGGAATTTTTGGATTTAGTCTCACTAAATTCATGAGTTTCCTGGATGCCAGCACAAGAGACAAACCCAAAGGCTGAATCACAGTTTACTGCTGGGGTTCCTGCAACCTTTGCCATTCTTTCAGCGGAGGGTTTCCATGGGCAGCCAGCTTTTCAGTAGTTGCTGGCTCCAGTTGGGAATATCAGGATTCTGCCTGTAATACTTCTGCAAACTTTCTAGAATAGTGGACAACCCAACTTGGATGCATAGAACATGGCCCACCCCTGTACCTTGGCCACCCATCCCATTGCAATGTAAATGACTCAATGTGCTCTGGGCTGGCAGCTATCCCTTCTCCCAAGATACGAATGCTTCATTGATAGTGCATACAAGCAGCGCTCCAGGATCTCATCCTGGCTAAATGACACGTGTTCAATGATAGTTTCTCTGTACTGTTGACAGGAACTTGGAAAGCCAGGATCAGGCTGTGAATCCTACCCAATGCTTTCATATTATACCACCCTTCCCTGTCTTCTGACCAAATCGCTGATTCACCCCAAAATATCAGAATTGGGCAATATCTTATATTGCCCCTCTTTCGGGCAGGAGTTCCTGGAGGCAATGCAGGTCCAGTAAGACCTTGACCCTTGCGACCTTTCCAACCTACATCCAATCCAGCAAGATCAGACACTCTAAAGTTCCTTATATATATGACATATATACTATCTCTAAGAGAACTGAAAACAGTATGTCTACATAAAACTTGTACATGAATGTTCATAGTACCATTATTGGAAATAGTCAAAAAGGTAGAAACAACTCAAAATTCCATCAATTGATGAACAGATACACAAAATATTTGGCAGTGAAAAGGAAAAAAGTACTGATACATGCTATAACATGAACGACTCTTAAAAACATTATATAAATTAGGGAAGCCAGACACAATAGGCCACATCACATGACTGTATGATTTCATTTATATGAAATGTCCAGGGCTGGTGGAGTGGCGAGAGTGGTGAGAATGTCTCTCTAGATCCTGAGTTCAAAATCTCAGTTCCACCAAAAAAAAAAAAAAAGAGAAACATCCAGATCAAGAAAATCCATTGAGACATAAAGTGAATTAGTGAGTGGGGTATTGTGTATACAACTGTTACTAAAAACCAATGACCTGTACTCTTTTTGGTAATTAAAAAAATTTTTTTTAAGTTGTGATAAAATGCATGTAAAAGTTACCATCATAATCATTTTTAAGCAGAGTTCAGAGGCATTAAGTACATTTGTAATGTTATACAATCAGCACCAGAACTCTTTCAAATTACAAAACTGAAACTGTGTACTCAATAAAATGTAACTCCTATTTTGCCTTCTCCCCAGCCTCTGGGGACCAAGATATTTTCCATCTCTATTAACTGACTACTCTAGGTACAGCATTTAAATGTAATCGTACATTTTTAGTCCTCATATGACTAGGTGATTTCACTTAGCCTCACGACCTCGAGGTTCATTCAAATTATAGCATGTGTCAGAATTATCTTTTCTAAGGGTAAATAATATACCATGATGGGGACTTACTACATTTTGCTTACGCATTCATCCACCAATGGACACTTGGTTGTTTCCACCTCCACGCTACTGTGAATAACAGTGGGATTAGGGAAAACTAGGAGTCAGGTTCAAAATTCTCGGGAAAAGAAGAGTAGTGCTGAAAGTAACATGGGTAGTAAGAGATTCACATAGGGAAGAGATAGGGATAAGATAAAATGATGTCTACAGTCTGGAGTAAAAACACTCAATTTTATCTGATTGTCAAAGAAGTTACCATCTGCCCAGCGAGGGTGGCTCACACCTGTAATCCTAGCTACTCAGGAGGCAGAGATCAGGATGATCAGGGTTTGAAGCCAGCCTGGGCAAATAGTTCTGCGAGACCCTATCTAGAAAAAAACCTTCATAAAAAAGGGCTGGTGGAGTGGCTCAAGGTATAGGTCCTGAGTTCAGGCCCCAGTACCACAAAAAAAAAAAAAAAAAGTTACCATCACCAGTCCTCACACATAAAATGAAGAGTTCATGGACTTGGATGAGAATTAATGGAGCTAATACAGCAATATGTTTACCACAGAACTTGACACCTGATGGTACTAAATAAATGGCAGCCCTGACCATGTGCAGATGTGGAGAGTCCAGGAACTCCCCAACGTGCTTACCAAGAACCCCAACCAAGGAGATGGGTCTCACTGAGGCTGTTTTCCAGGACACCCCAGATGGCGTTGACCACTTGTTTGCATTCCTTTCAGCAAAGAAAGCATACTGCAGGGCTCTAGCCTGCCCTGACTCCACAAGGTACACAGCCAACTCCTTCTCCTCCTTGATGCCCACTTCATAGGGATGCTTCACGGAGGCCTGGACTGCACGGATGCAAGTCTCCGGGGCAATGTAGCCAGGGTACTGCTTCCGCACCTTGGCGAAGACTTCACTGAAAATGGCGTCCATGTTGGGCACGTTTGGAACTGTCTTGTTCATGATTCTGCGGCATTCTAGAGGTTGATCTGGAAGGAATAAGAAAGATCAGAGCTTTGAAGGTGTTACATCAAGCGAATAGGATTATACAACAGTAAGAAGAACAGAAATTGAAAGTACCAAACTAAATACTTCTTATCACGATATTTAATTCAACACTAATTTGAAAATCTCTCTTTGTAACTGTATTATATAATAGAATTTAAGAGATCAAAGCAATGTTAAATTCAGGCATAAAAGTTAAATTCTCTTTCTATTTCAAAACAAAGACAATTTTACAACAGATTAAATATTAACCTGTCTATGAGTCTAAAGAGAAGATCTCCTAGTTAATATTTTAGATTCAAAATAATTAGAACATCTTTCCTAATAATAACAAAATGTTTTAAATACCTAGAAAAAAAGACAGTATCATATTGATGGACAGGTAGGCATGCATATCAATAAAGATTTTTTTTTAAATTTCTTTTATTCAGATGTGCATACAATGTTTGTGTCATTTCTCCCCTCTTCCCCCTTCCTTCAATAAAGATAATTGAGAGTTCATTAATTAATCCTTTTAATTGCAGCCAAACTGATTGAAAACAATTCAGTGGGGGAAAGGGTCTTTTAAAAATGATATTGGAATAACTGAATATTTACATGCTAAATCAGGAAAAAACAAAACCAAAAACCAGTTTCTTTCTTTGAGCCTATGGCTCAAAGAATTCCAGCTACTCAGGAGGCAGAGATCAGAAGGATCCCCTTAGAAGCCAGCTCCACCAGACTCTATCTCAAAAACATCCAACACAAAAAAGACTGGCAGAGTGGCTCAAGTGGTAGAGTTTCTGCCTTGCAAGCATGAGGCCCTAAGTTCAAACTCCAGTACCAGCAAAAAAAAAAAAAAAAAAAAAAAAAGTTCCTTACTTAGCACTACACATAAAAACTAACTCAAAATGTGTGATGAATTCATCGAATATCTAACACTACACAAATTTCTGGAAGAAAACCAAGGAACATCTTTGTGACCTTGGGTTAGGCAATGTCTTATATATGATGCCAAAAGCATGATCCATAAAAGAAAAAACCCAATAAATTGTGCAACATAAGCATGAAAGACTTTTGTACAAAGAGCACAACTAAGGAAATGAACTGAAGAGTCATAGAATGGGAGAAAAAACTTCAGTGGCAGGCAGAATAATGTCATCTCTCAAATGTACATTTCCTAACCCTAGAACCTGTGAATACAAGGCAAAGGGAATTTACAGGCATGATTAAGATTATAGACATTGAGATGAGGAAGTTACCCTGTATGACCTGGATGGGCCCAATCTAATCACAACTGTGATGAGAGAGGTTCAACAGCATGTAGGGCCACAAGGGGGCAACATGACAAGGACCCAACCTCTTGGCAGTGATATGGTTTTTAATATGAGGGAAGGAAGACAAGATCCAAGGTGTGCAGTAGCCTCTAAAGCTAGTAACCAACTTCAGTTTACACATAGCAAGAACATGGGGGACCTGGCTCCACAATATAAGATACTGAATTTTGCCAATAACCCAAATGAGCAGGAAATGCATTCTCCCTGGAAGCCTGGAGAAAGGCCTATGCAGCTGACAGTTGGGTTTTACTCCAGAGAGACCTTTACCAAAGCAATAAACTTGTGTTCTTTCAACTCCTTGCTTGTGGTGATTTGCTATCATAGAAGTAGAAAACTAGTACAAGTTGCACAACCTTATTAGAGGCCCTAAGCCTCAGTTACATCTAATACAGAACTTCAGTGGGCTGGCAGAGTAGCTCAAGTGGTAAAGTGCCTGCCTAGCAGAGTGAGGCCCTGAGTTCAAGCTCCAATACTGCCCTTCCCCCCAAAAAAACTTGAATACAGAATTTATAGTCTTATAATTCAATAGTAGGCAGTCGACCCAATTTTTCAAAGGACAAAAACTTGAACAGATTATTTCATCAAAGGATAAATATTAATGGTAACTGAGTATGTAAAGTGGGGGAAAAACCCCTTCAACATCATTAGTCATAAGGGAAATGCAAATCAAAATCACAGTGAATGTGCTATACAGTCTCATTTCTGAGATTGGGTTACAAAAGACTCTGCCTTCAATCTTTCTCAAAGCTCTCTCACTTGCTCACTCTGCTGGAAGCCAGTTGTCAGGTTGTGAGTAGCTCTGTGATGAAGTCCATGTACAAAGAACTGAGGGAATCCTTTAGCCAATAGCCATCCAGGAGTTGAGGCTCTTGGTCCATCAACCCATAAGGAACTGAATCCTGTTAACAAGCCTTTGAGAGCTCAGAAGTATATCCACACCCAGGTAGTCTTGAGATAACTATTCCTGCAGCCAGTGGCTACAAACCACACCTGGATTGAAGCTTTTGTGAAATCCTAAGACCACAGGCCCTAGCTCACCATACCTGGATTTCTGACCCATAGAAAACTATATGACAAATATTTGATTTTAAGTCAGTAAGTAAATTGTTATGCAGCTGTAGATAATAAACACAGACTCACTAGAAAGACTATAATAAAAAAAGGCACTAATACCAAGTATGGGTGATGATAAACAGAAGCTAGAACCCTCACCCTCATACATTCCTTCTGAGAATGTGAGATGGTACATCACTGTGGAAAATTGTTTGATAGTTTCTTAAAAAACATAAACTTCATGTTCAACTGAGCAATTCAACTCCTAGGACTCTATCCAAGAGAAATGAAAGCATATGTCTACACAAGCTTTGTATGCAGATATTCATAGCATAATCAGTCACAGTAATAAAAACTGGAAACAGCCCAAATGTCCACCATCTGCCGAATAGATAAATAAATGTTTTAAAGTCATACACGGAATGCTGTTCGGCAATAAAAAGAACAAAGTGCTGATACGTGTTGCCGCACCACATTAGCTTCAAAAACATGCTGAAAGAAGCCAGATTTACACTATGGCGCTAATTATACTAAATGTCAAAAAGAACAAAACTGCAGAGACAGAAAGAAAATCATCGGGTGCCTAGAGTGTGGGTGTTGAGTGCAAGTTAGCTATAGTGGGCATGAAGGAACGTTTTGTGGGAGTGGACAAGTTTTAAAATTCACTTGTGGGGATCGTTGCAGAACTCTGTAAGCCAAATTATGCCACATTAAAGATACTTTGGTACATCTACAAGTGAATTAATCAAGAGGTACACTTATCTTTCAGAAGATAAGTATAACATTTTATAGAAAAACATAAAATAAGGTCTTAATTAGAAGGACTCATGCTTCTGAAAAAAATATTTTAATAATATAGAAATATTTTCTATATGTGTTATATAGGAAATTGTAATCAGAACCACTGTGGTTCTATATTTTATTAAATAATTCAACAAAATGAATCTAAAGTTTCCACAAAAGAATAAATGTGTAACAAATTACACTTACCAAAACTTCAGCTTATACTAAAAACCGTTTTCTAAAAAGTGCTACCATCTTAAGGATAAATGATTCCATCACAAATATATATCTTAGATATTTAGATAGAAAATCTGCAAGAGTTTATAATGCAGTTCCATCATAGAAAGATGTTTGAATGTGAGCCTGCCTGGCACTGGAGTGTTAGAGTATGTTTAAGGGGGCGTGAGTGCAGTATAGATGTGATCACGTGCACATGAGGCATTCTGTAATCTCAGCCTTTTTAGGCTAAGGTCAAAAATATTCGTTGATTTCTAAAAGAATGATGTTAAGAACAGCATCCAGGAAAGAAGGGAAGACAGTGCCTATCAGCCTGCTGCTTTGGAGAACCGTGAACTGTACCAACGGTGCTACCAATGACTTGCTCTGTTATCCATTGAGCTCAATCCCTGATGGAGGGAAGGCAAGCTCAGCAGAGAAGGACCAATCCTGTCCAGGTCCACAGCTGGTCTCCTTCACTGGTGTCCTCAAAGGAAGACAAGAGTGGACAGCAAGGAGAAGAGCGGGGAGTAGACAAGTGTGTATGGAAGCAAGTGCTCGAGGAAAGAGGCTGAGCTGTCAGTGTTGTGGCCTAAACATGCTGCTGGTACAACCCGTGCCAGGCAGCAAGGCAGAGGGATCTGAGGTGTCTTAGACCTGAGCTCTGTATGTGCAACAATAGCACCATATTCACACCATGACTGGGCACAACACCCAGTATAACTCAGATTTCTCTGAAAAGTTTCAAAAGTTCTGGTGCCTTTCCTACAATACACTCAGTTAAAAACTTAAAGGTGGAACCTGGGCATGTCTATTTTTAAAAAAATTCAATAGTGGATTTTGAGCTAATGCCTCTGGGATGTCTAAGACAGAGTTATGTCAGCATTGTCCTCAAGGACAGCTACAGTTCCTGGCTAGTTTGTCCTAGACCAGACATTGAAAAGGAAAGGGAAAAAAAATGAGAGAACAAAATAGAAAAGAAAAGCCTGCTTAATGTATGCTATGCAGTAATTATTTCTTATCAGCATAGTCCTGTTATCCCAGGAATCCTCAGAACCTCTCAGACTACACACATGTCTGCCAAGAGCTAGCCAATGCACTTGACACAGGTATAGGACCAAATTAAGCATAACTAGTACACAGGTTGATCAGTGCCCAATCACAGACAGTTTTTCTAAATCTTTTCCTTTGGCTTGTTTATAACTCAACATTTGAAAGATAGACGTGAAGATAAGCTTAATGGAATATTTTCACAAATGGAAAAAGGGAACTCAAAAAACTTTATATACATTTTTAGAATTGAGATTACCATTCATATTCCACAAAAGTTATGTGTCTTTTTAACCATGCTATTTATAACTGATTTGCTGATATCTTTAAGACTGTAGGTCATGTTTGCATGCCATTGGACAAAGCCAAAACCAGAACAAGTTATTTCCACTCTTACCCTGTTCTCTCTACATCAGTTGTTCTCAATGTGTGGTTCCTAGAACATAACCTTAACGTGACCCACATATTGGTAGAGATTCTCCCTCCCTATAGATACTGAATCAGAAAGCAATGAGTGGGGCCCTGCAATCTACATGATAAGCCATCCAAGAGAATCTGATATACAG